AAAGATTCAGTGATGAAACCTTTAAATTTACTGTACTGTATATTTCTTATATATTTCTTATATTTCTTTCAGAAAAATTTGAGCTTATTTACCTATTAGAGCACAGAATGGAGATTTATGATAAGTATTATTGCTGATTTTTTAAAGAAAAGTTTTTCACTTTTCAAAGCTTTTCTACAAATTTTTTGCTTCTTATTTCTTATCATGAGATTGATGATATAGAGGTGGTAATATAATCCAATAACTTTCTAATTTCTAAAAAGCTTTTAAGCTTCTAGCATAAGAGTACAATATAGGTATGTAATTCATTTGGTTTTATTGTCTTGCTATGACATATCTACTTGCACTTCATCATTCTTGTATGAACAAAACACCAGATGTGGATACTCAAAGAACAAAATGCACTATGAACTGCTTACGAAATTTATTATTGAGGTGAAAACTGTGTTAATCATTCAAATTATAGTGCACTTACATTGCAAATATAGGAAAAAGAAAACAAAGTGAAAAAGAAAGGTAGAAGTATTAAAACTACAAATGAATTATAAACAACATTGGAAGCATAAGTGTTTTGATGATTATTTGCATTTTTCCCAATTCATATATCAATACAACAAAATCAAAATGTGCTACAACTTTACAAGTATTTGATGCGGTCATGTAAATTTTCTGCTTGTGTTCTAAACCATGAGCAATGGAAAATGTATATATATATATATATATCAAGCAACATGGACCTTCACCATGTATGCTAATGAAATGTTTTATGCATTTAAAAAACTAACATCATTGTATCTCATGCAGCTGATACACAAAAGAGTAGTCATGAATAAAAACTGTTGTAAAGCTCATGTATCTATATGTATTATCGTTGGTTTATTTAGCACAACATTTATACTGTAGTATATGTTTGTTTTAGCATAATCTAGCTTATTTTCCATAGAGCAATGAGTTTATATGATGCATATGATTTTCAATCAAGCAAAATGCTCAGGGAAAAATCCGCAATTTGAATATTTGATACATCCAAGCCTACAGGATTCATTGCTCAAATAATATTCTTTCTTTTTTTTTGTCATGGAATGAATTGTACTTGGTTGTAAGACAATGTCAGCGAGTTATGTGCACTAATCTTAAAGAAGTGGCTCTATCTCAATTGAGAGTCTCACTTATGAGTTGAAATAACTACCGGACGCAAAAAAGACGATACAAAATGCAATTGCTATTTTGTAAAAAGGGTTTTGTTACGCGGATAAGTTGTTGGCTGTTTTTCGTCAGAAAAACTTGTGATGCTTACAGTACGGACGAATGTAGTACACCGTCCATAAAGCTCTTATTCTAAAAGCTTTGCCATGGAAGATACATATGTGATTAAAAACTCAAGGTAAAACTTGTTGATCAACAACCTCTCGCCCATAATTGTCTTTAAGAAGATAAGCCACCATATTTAACTGTGTTTTGAAAAGTTAACTATGCCCCACAGCATAGTTAACTTAACTACCTTTAAACTGCAGTTAGCGCTAACTACTTTTTTATACAACAGACTTAACGCGTGTTAAATATAACTACTTTTTAAATGCAAAAAATGTAGTTAAAAAGTAGTAAGGAGCTCTATACAACCGGCCCCAGATGTATTAAGCTGATACCTTAAGTCGTGCATATGTAAAGGGAGATCGTAAAATGCAGAGTTTTGATCACGAAATGTTGTCAATTTGAAACAGTATCAAAGAGAATATAGAGTCCATTAATATGGTTAATAACCTTGAAGTCTCTGAAGAATCATTGACAAAGATTAAACAAGGTATAGTAGCAGATAATGATTTAGAGAAGCTAAAAACGATTGTCAGACTATGATGGCTAGAGGTAAGAGGTCAAGTACCACCAACTATAGCAGAATACTTCAATTTTCGCGATGAATTGTTAATTCAAAATGGTTTGATATTCAAAGGTGAAAGATTGGTCATTTGATTTGGGGCAAGATCATTTATATTGGCAAGAATTCATGCAAGTCATATCGGTGTGCAGGGATGTCGAAGACACACCCGAAAAAGTGTGTATTGGCCTGGTATGACAAAGAAATCACAGACTATATTTTAAGATGTCAAACGTGCAACGCAAATTCACATGAACAACGAAAAGAATCGTTGTTCAGCCACGCAATTCCTCAACGATTATGTGAAAAGTTGGTTGTTACCTTTTTGAGCATGAAAGAAGTGATTTTTTAGTGACAATTAATTATTTCTGAAATTTCTCTTTGAGTTGGATCAGGTAAGCAATAAAACCAGCAACAAAGTCATTAATAAACCTAAATCACATATTTCAAGACATGGAATTCCAGAACAGTTTGTGACCGACAACGGAACATCAAGAGAATTAGAGTTTGAACATATTACTAACTCACCCGGATATCCGAGGTATAACGTAAAAGCTGAGAATGCTGTGCGGACAGCAAAACAATTATTGAAAAAAGCGAAGAAGAGTGGAAGAGATCCTAATTTGTCCCTGTAGGAGTGGCGTAATTTTTCTATTGAAGGGATTGGGTGTTACATGATAGCAACTACTATCATGTAATATCATTTTTATATCATATTATAATTTCATATATAATTAATTAGAACTTTATCTAGAAGCTTGCTTGCATGCGCTAGAAGCTTGCTTACATGCGTAAACACTTTAGAACCGCAACCGCATCTGTTGTTATTGTGGTTAACTATATCTTGCTGTAACATACTGTATTGCGTATGGGATGTAGGTCACAAAACCACAATACTTCCGATTAGATATTATATATATATCAGTAGTTTAGACCACTGAGTACAACCTAAGAGGACAACCTACGAGCACAAGCTACGAGGAGACAAACTTGGGAGGCATAGCCTACCGAAGTAGGTTGACAAGCTACAATCTACCAGACAACTATCTTGGCTTCTGTGCCATAACTATCTTTTGGCTTCTGTGCTTTAATCTATTAGAAAACTATTGTGAGTCATTGTTGGACTCACGAACGCTCAAGAATAAAGACTCGCGGTTGTACTCAGACAGAGGAGATAACTTTTACTCATACTTATTGATATTATTATTAAGACACTTATTCCCTTTAATATTTACGCTTTATTAATAATTGTTTGAGAAATATAGCTGGTTCACACTATCTTTGTTGCGTGTGGAAATTAATAGTTATTCTTTCGGGACCACGCACGTAACATTGGGTTTTAATCTGTCTAGAGATTGTTTTGTCTGCAAAATAGAACGCCAATTCAAACGTCCAAAAGTCTTCTAAAGTAGGAAATCCCGAAAAATCTTGACCGTAAATTGCTAGAGCAGAAAAGCAAGTAAGCTTAGTAGTACAACGTAAGAACCAAAGAACTAACACAATTGGAAAAAGGTGATTGTGTTTAAATCAAACCATTAAAGTAATCAGAGAAGCGTAAGCCATGGGTACAAGCAAAAATTAAAGGGAAAGATGGCATTCGTCCATATAAAGTTCGAATGGAAAACGGAAGAGTGTACAGACAAAATCGACGACACCTTAAACATTCTGAAGAATAATAAGAGTAAAATACAACGATGTCTGACTTCCAATCACCAGTGACAGAAACATATATTAAAAAGGATTAAAGTGTTGAGCAGTCACGTAAAGACCTTTTTATTTCCGGTCAACCTTTGAGAAGACAGAGCCTGTTATTCTTGATCATCAAGTGAGAACGAGAAGTGGAAGAGTTGTAAAGAAACCCTCTCGCTTTCAAGTGGGTGTAAAATGAAAAAATCCCAACTATGAGCTAAGTGATAGAATACAGCATTAATCATGTTATTAAGTTTGAAAATTGCCTAATTAATTAAGGGTATAAATAATATCATTTAATTAGGAAGCCTTGCTCTATATAATCATATATTTTCATTTTCAGTTGGATACTTGAAATTGGCAATATAAGAATGTTTACATAAAGAAAAAATATTGCAGTACATAGACTACTAAGGTATCATGTCCTTTTGTTAGAGAAAGGGAGATGTAAGGATTATCATTTAAAATTTGAAATATTGTAATGCTACTTCCGGTGGTTGCATGTAAAGACAGGTTCACAAATTACTAAAGACACACAATAAATTTAATTTAACTTTGAGTGCTCTGTTCTGTATTCTGTATAATAAGAAGAAACGTTACAGAAACCATATTTATGACATGATTTCCCACAATTTAATATTATACCTATAGTTTAATAAAAAGTTGGCGGGTAGTACAGCACAAAATTTATTGTATATCCGAATTGGCCTGCGAAACCTTGGTGACCAAATGTAAGGCCTTGGTGACCAACATTCACCATTAACTATTCCAACAAAACAGCTATGATTACCAACAAATATGCAATTTTGGAAGTAAAGATTTGTTATGTGTTCGCATTCAGAAAGAAATTCAAACAATGTGTTTGAATCATCAGCCGTAAAAGAAGCTCCATTAATGGTCATTTCTTGAGAATCATTCTTTAAGTCTGTGCAAGCTGACCTTATGACATATTTGTCCTGCAACTCATATAAGCACTTTACTCTAAGAAAACCTAGGAAATATTCCTAGGTTTTCTTAATCCTAGGCTGTTATAAATTATGTACCCCACGCTATAAATGAAGTGAGAGGCCTTAGCCTTTATAATTTTTTTAGATTGCGGCGTCAATGATAACAACGTCAGCTTCAAAGAGCTAATTTAGTAAAAAAGGGCAACAACTTTACTTTAAATCCGACAGACCTCTTTAAAACTCAGCAACATTTTCAAAACTGAAACAGCACTCTGCAGAAAACCATGAAGTTTTGTCTTATATAAATATAGGCTAACTTCATATAAAACTGCTGCAATTTCTTATAACAATCCAGCAACAACTCTGAGCATATGTAGTAGACGTAGTTAGTGTTCCTGCGCTTCCTGTCCAGCAGGACAAAAAACTGTAAAAACAAAACTCATCGAAGACAATAACCTAAACCTCACTAGAAACAAAAATATAGAACCTACCGTTGTTCAACCTTTTCTACTGTTTCAGCATTTCTGATGCTGCCAGATCTCTTCATGTCTCCAACTAAACCAGCAACAAACTCTATCACCAAATACCATTTAGAATCAGATACATTATCATCCAAAAAATTTGCAATGTTTTGCCAATCGTCAACAATACACCATGCAGCGAAGAACTCTTGAAGAGTCAAATGAATAAAACAATAAAGATTGCGTCGTCTATCTGGTAATTTATGAAAGAAACCGCACTTTGCCAGATGTGGAAAATTCGGGAGACTTGGTTCGTTAAAAATCAAACTCTCTTTCGCAATACCGTCTTTTGCAAGGCTTTTTATTTTCGTCAGGTCTTCAAGCTTATCAAGCTCTTCCGGTAAACCTCTGACGAGATAATCTATTGGTCGTGATCTTCTTATAAAATCTGGATGGTGCTTCCAAAGTAAGATTTTAACTGCTCTTTTGTACAATTCAGTTGTAGTTTTTGGAATATCTTCTGCTTCTTTTGTAAAGCATTCTTTCAGGGTCAGACAGACAATGTAAGCGTTGACGGGGATATAACACAGGCTACGAAGTTCGATAGAATTATCAATGCAGCTCAAAATAAGCTCAGTAGATTCCTTATCGTTACCACAGAACTTGTGAACATATTCTTTAATCTGATCTTCAAAAAACCCCAAGATCTCCACTGTCCTCTTGAATTTCAAAAGTTTAAATGCAAATTCAGCGGTTGGTCGTGATGTTATAAGAACAGTGGCACCTGGCAACAGCTTACCTTTAATCAACATACTTAACACTGTAAATGCTGGCCTTTTTTCTTTAACAAGCACTGGGCCATCAGTTTTAAGATTTTTGTCATCCAGCGGAAGCTCATCAAGACCGTCAATGATAAGAACAGTTTTTTTTGGATTTGACATTATCAATTCGTAATCTCGATATGGCAATCCATCAGCACACAACATTTCTTGAAGAGTAATGTCAACATTTTCAAACGCACGACATCGGATTAGATGAACGTACTTATCTCGCCAATATTTATCTGTGTTGTTTTTCCATTCATGCATAAGTTTTTTTGTTAACATTGTTTTACCAATTCCTGGCCTTCCAATGACTAAAATAGAACGTGGATACGATGTTTCTTTCTCACCCTGGATTGGCTTAAAAATATCAGTCACCATTTTCAATTTTCTTGCATCATGTCCAATTTCTAGATGACTTTGAAAGATTTCATGTCTTTTATAATTTTCTGGATAAGCATTCTTTAATTCTCTTTCCGCTTGCATAATGACATTGACATAAATCTCCTCAAACTTTAATGGAGTGTATTGATCATCCCCAAAGTCCTCATTTGTTTGAACGTCTTCGTTGCTGTCAAAATTTTCTTTTTGTTTTTTCAAAAATGTTTGAAATCTTTCACGTTTTCGTAACAAATAAACTTCACAAAATTCTCTTGATGTTGTAAATAATCTGTACTTCCAGGCTACAATCGTCAAATAAGACAGCTCTAAGATTGTCAGTATTATAAAAATGACATCAACAGACGCAACAACTTGAATCAACGTCTTACTTTTATCAGCGTTAAGATTTTGACAAGCAAGTAATATGACGTCGTATGAGGTAGGAATAGTGTGATTTAAAGAGGCTGTTTCTTTCAATTTAGGATGCCATGAACAAATGTAATCGATAGGAAACTTGGCTGAGAAAAGTAATCCAACGAATACGGATAATATAATGAGGCGAACAACCAAATGGACGATATAAATGTAAAATGTAGAAAATCTAAATTTAACGCTTTTACATTTATCATTGTCTTCACCATGATAACCACCATCTAGACGTTCACTTTCCCCATCATTGTTCACTGGATCAAATTGACCATAACGCTCCACTCGACGTTTTACATAATATCCATAAACCATACTCCAAATTAAGACAATACCAATATTTAAGCACACCACAAGAAAAATTACATACTTGAAATTTAGGCTATCTTTGTATTGTCTGAAACATCTTGATTCAATGGTTTTCATGAGAGAATTGTCATTGTTTTTTGACAAATTCTCATTATAACAATTAAAAGAGACATCATTATATAAATTTAAGGAAATACCAGACACGATGAAGCCAAATATTTCAAAGATAATCAATATTATTCTTCCAAACCAGTTAAAACTTTTCCATGGTATATATTCAAGACACTTCTCGAACATTTTTGTATCCCTTAAATCAATGAATTGAACACGAATTAAAACAAGTCTAAAAACCATTATATATTCAGCACTTAGCGAATCAACAAAAGCGTTTTGAAAATTAAGACTAGAGGTGAAAAAGTTCTCGGGCAGGATACAAGATTGGCGTGAATTCAGGGACTCTTTTAAAAGTTCAATTCACAACAACGACGGATTGTCTGAGGTCGACAAATTCACCTATCTGAGGGGACTGGTGGAGGAGCCGGCCAAGTCAGCAATTTCGGAATTTGCTCTAAATTCGATCAACTATGCAGAAGCCCTTAAGGTGTTAGAACGGAGATACGGAAACAAAGTGATGGTGCAAAGGACACATGTAAATGATATGATGAACTAAAGCCCGTGTACAACGAGAATAATACGACGAGGCTTCGCGAGTTCTTTGACGCCGTGGAAACGAATTATCGAGGACTCGAGGCACTCGGTATAAAGGAGAAGACGTATTGCAAGATAGTCATGCCAAATTATCTAACAAAAATACCGGACTCATTAAAACTGACCATTACCAGGGGAAGAGACTACTTAGAGTCGGGCATGAAAGATTTTTTCGACGCGTTGCAAGTCGAAGTGGAGCTGTAGGAATGCCACAATTCTTATTAGGGGAGAAGGACGAAGATTAACGAAGAAGATGACGGGAGCCAGAACAGCTAGTGGTTTGTTTGCCAGCCGCAACAACCGATTGTTTTGTGCTTTCTGCTCTGGGGAGCACAAACACGAAGAGTGCAAGAAAATAACAGGACCGACAGAACGTATGCAACTTATTCGTAAGTTTAAAAGATGTTTTGTTTGTCTAAATAAAGTTCATTTAGCAAAAGATTGTCGTGCACGTACTAAGTGTATGTATGTGGGGAGGGTCATCATGTGTCTTTATGTGACAAAGAAAAAAGGGACGAAGAAAAGGCTGAAAACCAGAGTGGTAGCGCAGAGTAAACAGAGCAGGTAAATGTGAGTAACGTGCATGTGAGTACAAAGACTAGGGTAGCCTTGCAGACTGCGCAAGGAATTCTTGTAGGTCAGAATAGGAAGAGAGTGCGATTGCTATTTGACTCGGGAAATCAGAAGTCTGTCGTGACAAACAGAGCAAAACAAGATGCGAAGCTTAATGTAGGAAGGTGAGAATGGTTAGAGATCAACACCTTTTGGTGGTGGAACAAATGAAGGTAAGATGACGGAGGTCAATTTCAGGGTCGCATCAGTTAGGGATAATTACAAAATTCGTTTAGAGGCATTAGTAGTTCCACGTATATGTACGGTAAAAAATGAGCATATTTAGGTGGATGAGGAGCAGTATTCTCATTTGAAAAATTTGTTTTTGCCAAATGTAAGTTGGAAGCAGGAGATGTTGGAAGTGGATGTTTTGATAGGAGCAGATAACCTTTGGGCTTTTCAGAAAGGAGAAATAATTAGGGGAAAAAGAATGAACCAGTTGCGATTGATACTTGTTTATGATGGGTTGTAAGCGATCCACTAAAAGGGAGCTTGAAAGTCAAAAACGCACATGTTAATTTAGTTTCGCAGACTGCAACGCAGAATACAAACAGCATAAACAGGCAGGTGAACAAGTTGTGGGATATAGAAACACTTGGGGTCAGAGAAACTGACGATGTGCACGAAGCCTTGTTAGATAAAATTGAGTTTAATGTGCATTAGTACTCTGTTAAATTGCGGTGGAAGCAGGGTTATGGGCATTTACCAAGTAACTATGCCAATTGTTTAGCACGCATGAAAGGGCAAATTAAGCGTTTGTCAAATGAGCCTGATTGGTTAAAGGAATATGATAAAATTATCAGGGATCAACTAAAAATGGGTGTCATTGAAAGGGTTGACGAGTCAGAACCGGGGATGAATGTTCATTATCTTCCCCATCAAGCGGTGATACGTAAAGAAGCCAAAACAACTAAGCTAAGAATAGTGTATGATGCTTCATCAAAGAAGGGTAAGAAAGGGACTTCTTTGAATGACTGTCTTCATGTAGCACCATCATTAACATCGTTGTTGTTTCATAAATTAATCAGATTTAAGGAAAAAAACGTGTCCTTGGTAAGAGACATAGAGAAAGCATTTTTGAACGCAGAAGTAGACAAAGCAATAAAAGGGATTATTTAAGATTTCTGTGGGTTGGAGATGCGACTAATGCTAATTTAGAGGTTGTTGTTTACAGGTTTTGCAGAGTAGTGTTTGGATTAAATGCTTCGCCATTTTTACTCAATGCCACGCTTAGGCATCACATAGCGCAATTTGCAGAATCACATCTAGTGCTTGCTCAAAAATTGAATGAAGGATTTTAAGTTGATGACTTAGTTTCGGGGTGCAAAAGCGCAAACGAAATGATCGATTTATATGAAAAGGCAAAATTTAGAATGTTTCAAGGCGGGTTTAAGTGAAGGAAATGGATTACAAATTACGCAAACGTGCGAGCGCATTTAGAACAGTGTGAATGCCTGAACAATGTCGTGCAGACGACAGATCGAGACAATGAAACATTCACACAATGGAGTTTGGGAATCCAAAATAACGATGATTACGCAAAGTTTTTGGTATAAGCTGGGGTTGCGACAATGATCTGTTCATGTTCGACCTGCAAAAGTTTGCAGGAGACTTGGGTGACAAGAAGTTAACTAAACGAAACCTGCTGAGCGCACTAGCAAAGATATTTGACCGCTAGGATTAAGAGCTGCGTAATAGTTGTGATGAAAATCTTGTTTCAGCAGCTATGCGTAGAAAAGATTTATTGAGATGACAAGATAAGCAGATAGTACGCCGGTCTTTACACCAAATGGATTGAAGATCTAAACCGTGTTAAGACTATCAAGCTAAGTAGATGCATCTATAGTGGTGTGAAGGGCAAAATTCGATCATGTGAACTTCACGGGCTTGGTGATACAAGCGAGAAAGCGTATTGAGCGCTAGTATATTTTGTTTGTTGCACAAGTGTTGTAGTTTTTGTGAAATTGTTAACAGCAAAAACTAGAATTGCGCCGCTGAAGAAGCTTACTATACCGCGCTTAGAACTAATGTCCGCGCTGATGTTAGCAAAGTTAATGGAATCTGTGCGGAAAGCTTTGGTAGGCCAAGTAGGGAAAATAGAAGTAAGGTACTGGTTAGATAGTATTACAGCATTACATTGGATTCTGAATTGCAGATAGTGGAAACAGTTTGTTAGAAATAGAGTAAATGAAATCTTAGCAATAACACAGAAGGAGAAGTGGGGACATTGTCCAAGAATGGAAAATTCCGCTGATTTAGGAAGTAGGGGAGGGTTTGCGTCGAAGATACAAGAGCAATCATTTTGGTGGACAGGACCAAGGTGGCTGAGTAGCGTAGAAAGAGAGAGGCTTCAATCAGAGGTAGGCGTAACTGGGGAGAGTAAAGAAGAAGAAAAGCGAACGGCACTATTAGTAGTAGATACTAACGAAGAAATAGGTATTCAGAACGTAATCTCTTTAGAGAGGTACAGTAAGGTTGAAAATTTATTCCGGGTAACGGCATGGGTTACACGGTTTGTCAGGAGTTTGATCGCTATGATCAAAGGGAAACATGAAGATTTAAACTTCACGGAATTAGGGAGTCAGGAGATAAGTAAAGCAGAAAAACTTAGGTTGAAGGCTTCACAAGACAGGCTAAAGAAGGAGGATAAGTTCTAGCCGTTAGAGATACAACTCAAGGTAGTAGAAGATGAGGCGTTACTAAAATGTCAGGGTAGGCTAGCAGGATCATACTTGGAAGAGGAAACGAAGTTTCTAATCTTATTACCAAAGGAAGGTAGATTGACGGAATTAATAGTTGAGCATTGCCACAAAAAGGTACATCATAGCGGAGCTAAGGCAACTTTAGCAGAGATAAGGTCAAGGTTCTGGATTCCACAAGGGAGAGAGAAGGTAAAATCAATTCTCAACAAATGTGTCGTGTGTAAGAAATTAGAGGGTAAACCATATAATAGACCGAACGAAGCAAACCTTTCGGCATTCAGAGTGTAGCAAGCAGAACAATTTTTGAAGACAGGGGTAGATTTTGCTGGACCACTACATGTGAAGAATACTCAGGGGGACAGACAAAGTATACATCGCATTTATTTCCTGTTGCGTAACTAGGGACCTACATTTAGACCTAGTTAAATATTTGTCTACGGATGAATTCATAAGATGTCTTAGACGATTTTCAGCTAGAAGGGGGACCCCTTCATAAATGGTATCAGACAATGCGAAAACATTCAAAGCAACAGTCAAGACTTTAGAAAACTTCTATAATAATGTATGTGTGCAAGGGTATTTGGGAAACAATAGGATAGAGTGGAAATTCAATCTAGAAAGAGCTGCCAGGTGGGGTGGATTTTTTGAAAGAATGGTTAGGTCAGTAAAGAGGTGCTTGAAGAAAGTATTAGGAAATGCTAGGTTTACATTTGACGAACTACTGACAGTGATGGTTGAAGTTGAGGCAAAATTAAATCCTAGGCCATTGACTTATACGTACGACGAAGTGGGTAGTGAACCACTAACTCCGTCGCATTTTGGGAAGAAGGTTGTAGACCATGCCAGATGAAGGGTCTGGTGAAGAGGAGTCTAATGAGGGTTACTGTAAAATACGGTATCTGTAGTTGAGTATGAACAAAATGCATTTCTTGAATAGGTGGCGTAAAGAGTATTTGGTTGGTTTAAGAAAGTTTCATAAGCAGGACAAGGACAATGCTATTAGGTTAGAAGAGAAGGGAGATGTCGTGACTGTTTATGAGGATAATGTCAAAAGAGGAAATT